GAATGACAGGCGCGCCGGTACTGTATATGTATCGCACGATTGACACATAATTAGCGCTAAAAACTGTAAATTACATTCAATCGTGTGATGTGTGATGTCTATTAGTGTATTAAATGACTACAACTTTCGTAATATACGAGCAAATTATATTTAATTTTTGTAATATACTATTAACACGAATAGTATACTGCATAAAAGTTTTTGTAATAATATTTTCGCTGTGAATATAATAAAACAATTTTTTCAGGTGTTTCACTAAAAGGCTTTTGTGTGTCTATCAGTGAAAATCCTCTGATGTGTCATACAGTTATCAAATTATGTAAACTTGCATGTTTATATATAAAACTTAGTTTAAAACATCATATATTTCATTAACACATAATATTTTCGGTGTTATAATCACATGATATGTTCATTTGATTGTTATTTTCAATGTTAATAATTTAATAATGAATTGTCTTATAATATGTATTTCCCGATAACAAAGTGTTACTATTAATGGTATAAATTACAAACTATACCATATATTATATTTAGTGACTGTGCCGGGAGCCGTTGGAGTAGCCGTTGCACCCGTTCCCGACACTCATGATTATTGGATACACCGATCGCTTCAATCCATTGGGGGTAGAGCTGGGCCTGGAGTAGACAGTCGGGGAGGGATCGCAGGTATTCCTATCGGCAATCGATAAATATGTTACAAACCGTTGGTATTATATGAGAGGGAAAGGCGTGTATACCTTGAATACAGACGCGATTACAATGACCGGAACTTCGCCGATGTTGGGCTCCGACTCGGACTCCAGTTTTGCCCGGAATTCCTTACATACCCGGGCGTTGGCAGACTTGCGGAATATACCCACAGTGTAGGGTCCCTTTTGGTACAGTTCTTTGAGCATCAGCTACAGGTGCGATACAAGGGGACAGGTATTAGCAAAACATCAAATAAGATTAATATCCTATTAATGCTAACCATTATTGGCTGCGGGAGAGAGTCCTCGTTACAGATGAGGTCCAAGTGCTGCCCAAACAGCTTGCCTTTGGTGGGCGTGGAGGGCTCACTGGTGGATATGCCACTGTCCAGGGATAGGTCGCCCCCATGACCGCCACCACCACTGGTCAGTATCTTCTTGAAGGGCCAGTTGATGGGCCGGCGCTTGGGTTTGGCTTTCTTTGAGCTGTTCTCCAGCAGAGAACCGGTAGTTTTGGGACAGGATTTGCGTAAAATGAATATACATTTGTTGTCGGCGGCGATGTTATTGAAGTTCTGGAGGTCGAGGTTAGACCGATGCAGGAGATCCCTCACGAAATTCATTTTTATGGCAAACGGGTACTCGTGTCCAATCAGCGGGTAGGGCGTGTCGTCCCGTGAGGTCTTCACCCAGAGTTGATAGTCGCCTACCGGGCCCTCGCACTTCAGTATATGATGGGCCAGTTGTATGATGTCTGTAGTGGTGCACCGGTTGGTCACTTTAAGCAAGGTGTATTTGTCACCACCGTATGAGATCTGGATTGTCGTATTGCATTTCCCCTCCCTGTCCTTTGCCTCGATTATCGATCTATTGGTAGAGAGTTTAGACACAATTAATATATAATTTTAATNGGTCACTTTAAGCAAGGTGTATTTGTCACCACCGTATGAGATCTGGATTGTCGTATTGCATTTCCCCTCCCTGTCCTTTGCCTCGATTATCGATCTATTGGTAGAGAGTTTAGACACAATTAATATATAATTTTAATTAATTATAAATTTTTTAATTAGCAAAATATGTGAAATATTTTTATGTAGTAAACAAGCATTTTATAGACTATTTCGTAATTATATAACTTTTTATTTAATTATTTATCAGTTTTTTCATTGAGAAATATTATATTAGACTATTTTATAGTGTAGTATAAAAATATACTTTCAATTATAGCTATAAATTATATCATTTTATATTTATTATTAGAAACACATAAATATAAAAATGAGACTTTTTATAATTATTTCTATAATTACTTCGAGTAAAATAAATCACTGGAAAACATCAATTATTATGAATGCATAGGAATAGCAAAAGTATAATTTAATTAATATTTAAATGTAGTAATAAATCACAGCAAGCACAAAAATAAGGTGTTAAGGAATGGGAGTCCAGGAAAAGGTATACTAATTAAACAACTCGTGTATTAGTCTATAAATAATGAAATGGTAAATAAAAATAAGTTTCTCCTCAATTCAATTATAACAAACAAATTATGAGATATTTTAACCGATAATAAACCACTCGTTAGTATTGATACGGTTGCACAGGTATGGGGAAAGGGATTACATATGGAAATAAATAAACAATAAACAAAATAATTATAGATTAGTTAAAAAGTAGTTATTTTTATGAACTTTTATATTTTTGTTGTTAAGTTTTTAGCTATATTTTTGAGCACTTATTTTGGGGGCAAAACTCAACTATTTAGCGCAAATCTGATAAGATATGGGCACAGGTAGAGGGAAAGGTATGTTGGAAATTGTTTTCTTTATTATTATTTACTTATATTTATATAACTGTTTGTCTAAATATTAATATCAAATCAGATTTGCTTATTTCACTTACAATTTCCTAAATCTCTAATTTTAGTTAATAATAAACTTTTTTACTTTCAAATATAAAAAGTTAAAGTTAACTAGCAAAAAATCAATGTCCGAGTCATATGCTAATTAAATATCAGTAGAAATACAAACTTTTTTTGGGAACATTTGATACAGGTACAATTCCTATGATTTATATTATGGAAAATTTTAATAAACAATTTCATTGATATAATTCATGTATTATATAACGTAAACAAAGTATATTACTACAAAATTGAAAAGGATACTCTGTTGACCAATGCATTTAATATTATGAAAATAGTGACCATCGCTATTTTATTATCACTTTTTGTTACGTGAGCATATACTGTATACTTTTATGCAATTATATTATTATTATTAAATAATAATAATCTCAACACAAATAGGAAATGCATTCAATTATACATAAATATAATTAGAAAGTTGCTATCAACTAATGAAATCAGTGGCTGATAAAACCTACACTGATCAATTCATTAAAACGACTAATTTATGTTCAAATAGTGTGCGAGACATATGAAAAATTAATACTAAAACACAATTATAATTGAATTAATAATAATAATAATACACTTACTGTTGGATCCTTTCGTACCAGAGATCCTTGGCCTGTGAACTGCTGTTTAAATGCCAAACACGAAAAAATTTCATCAGTTTTTGTACATTAATAATAGCTTTTTCGGGGCTTTTCTCGGGAGCTAAGAGGTCTGCCTTTCCCACCGGCCGATCCATATATCAAATCATATAAACACTTAATAATATAACTTTCGGACACAAGCACTGGTAGTCAAGCACTGGTAGTGAAATGCAAATACAATACAATACAATAGCAATAGCGGTGGTGTTTCCGAGAACACAGGCAATTGTATGGACACTACACTATACCTATACCTATAGTCTATACCTATCACTGGCATCACTCGTATACTGTATACCAAACACGTGTACAAATACAGGTGACAGAGTGGGATAGGGAGATATACAGGTATACAGGAATACAGTGTAATTAGTTTCAGAATAATTCTCAGCGATAAGTATAGTTATATTTGAAAACTCTGTGGTTACTTTCCCCTTACCCTAGAGTCCCGTGTGCAGAGCATTTCATGTGTCTGAAGTATCCCATCCGTGTCCATCTGGACATCTCAAGCACTGAGAGCGCCTCTATACGTATCTATCGTGGGTTTGGGGTTTGGTTACTGGGTGACTGTGGACACACTGACTACATGGTGAGTGAGTGAGAGAGTCGTTGTAGGGTCAGGGGATAGACAGTCAGGGGGAGTATTTACGCAGGTATTTAATGGCGTATAATGTATGCTTGCTCAATTCACGAGCAATAAGTCATTCGTCATATTATGTATGAGAAAATTCAGACACTTTTTTGACACATAGATAGCCTTCATCGCTGGTATAAATGCCAGGTATTTAATGGCGTATAATGTATGCTTGCTCAATTCACGAGCAATAAGTCATTCGTCATATTATGTATGAGAAAATTCAGACACTTTTTTGACACATAGATAGCCTTCATCGCTGGGCGGGTAGGGGTGGACAGGGATGAGGGGTTAGAGTCTAAATATTTCTCACCTCAACATTGATAAACGGTTCACCAGAATATCATAGCTTTTGTGATGAATTAGAAAAAATGAGAGAAAATATTTGATAAGTTTTTTGTGGTTAATAACAGATTAGCGTTTAGATAAGAGATTACGAAAATGAATGATAAGTGAAAATATTTTGATTAATATTACAAGCGGTGAAAAAGTTTTTTAAATGCAAAATTTGATAAATTTAATAATTTGGAGGTTTATATGAAGTCTGAAATAGTTATAAAAATTATGGCAAAAAACCTTTGGCTGTATATTAGGCTCCGAAAGCATCCGATAATCCCATAATATATTGAAGTCATGATTAATCACATTATAATTAAATCGTTTGTTAATCGCAATGTACTAATATTCATTTATACAGTCACTAAATATAATATATGGTATAGTTTGTAATTTATACCATTAATAGTAACACTTTGTTATCGGGAAATACATATTATAAGACAATTCATTATTAAATTATTAACATTGAAAATAACAATCAACTGAACATATCATGTGATTATAACACAGAAAATATTATGTGTTAATGAAATATATGATGTTTTAAACCAAGTTTTATATATAAACATGCAAGTTTACATAATTTGATAACTGTATGACACATCAGAGGATTTTCACTGATAGACACACAAAAAGCTTTTAGTGAAACACCTGAAAAAATTGTTTTATTATATTCACAGTGAAAATATTATTACAAAAACTTTTATACAGTATACTATTCGTGTTAATAGTATATTACAAAAATTAAATATAATTTGCTCGTATATTACAAAAGTTGTAGTCATTTAATACACTAATAGACATCACACATCACACGATTGAATGTAATTTACAGTTTTTAGCGCTAATTATGTGTCAATCGTGCGATACATATACAGTACCGGCGCGCCTGTCATTCTCTGTATATTACAATAACTGGATATTTATTTCAGTATAAGATTTCCACAATTAATAGTAAGATATAATATACTGTAAGTTATTATTGTTATAATAAATCGTAAGTGAATAATAAGATTTCTATTTTAATAAACAGTTTAACAGTTATATTATTTGTACACAATTGATAATAAGTAGATAGTGGTGCTAGTATATTGTTTACCATGTTTATCACTGGACTCACTTAATTGCAGTACAAATATAAATAATTATCAATATGAATATATTGTTCATTATATTCAGTGTTTGAATAATTTTTAAATGATTTTTAAATATTTTATGCTAGTATAATTATGCTAGTGTTTTTCTAAAATGATTTGACAATATTTTTAGAAAGATATGTGAAATTTGATGTTGAAATTTCATATATATTTTTGTGATTCATATCGAGAAAGAGAGAGAGAGAAAGAGAGAGAGAGAGAGAGAGAGAGAGAGAGATAAGAGAGCGAAAAAATTATACATTCCTTTGAAATACGATTAAATCGTTTATTATTATTAAAAAGAAAAATATTGTTTAAAATTATGATTACTTTTCATAATATCAATATAAAACTTGTTATTAAAATTATCGCAACTTTCATATTTGGTGTTATATTTTATATTATTATTGTCTGAATGGAAAAATAATAATTTAAATAAACAAAAGTTTTAAAATACTAAATACTTTAAAAGGAGTTTTTAATTTCAAAATATCGCCGATTTATTTGCGTTAAGTTGTTATATTTTATATTATTATTGTCTGAATGAAAAAATAATAATTTAAATAAACAAAAGTTTTAAAATACTAAATACTTTAAAAGGAGTTTTTAATTTCAAAATATCGCCGATTTATTTGCGTTAAGTATCCGATGAGTGGTAGGGAAAGGGGGTCGGGAGGTGGCTATGAAGTGCTGTATGTGCCTCTTAAACCACATTTGAGATGTATTTTAAGATAATATTAACTTTTAAGACAAATAAGACTTTTTCACTTATAATAACCCCTTTTGACTGCACATATGCTGTCAATAATGACTTTCACTACACATATTCACTGTGTGTGTGGGCTATGGCTATGGGTTTGAAAAACTTTTTTATCATAGAGTCTGAGAAAAAGGCAAAAAACTTTGATTTGATATAAATTATAATTTGAAACTTTTATGCATTTATTACTTTTGGACAGAAAAAGTCACCAAAAAAGCGAAAGTACTGTTCAATATCAGGGATTCACCAGACGTTGACATACCTGTGCCCGCACACAGGTATACCTAGAAGTTAATGGCTGTGCCGTACGTATGATTAATGAGAGAATGGTGTCTATTGATGGACGGGTAGATATTTATAATAAGTGAAAGTGTGTTGAGGACTGTTTCTTGAAAGTATGGGCTAAATGTGAGCACCGGGAGGGGGCATACGATGAGAGAATGCAATCCTTTTTACACCTTTTTATATGCGATTAACGGCACTATAATTACAATTATTTAAAATTCAATTATCATTACTGCGAGAGAGAGAGAGAGGGAGAGAGAGAGAGCTGAGAGACTAATAATTCAAGTAATAATTTTTATAATGCACTTCCCTTTAGGAACTGGAGGTATATTTTTCGGGACACAAAACTCTGTTATTTTTCTCATTTACAAAAACAGCTAATTTTTGTGCCGAAAAAGTTTTAAACAACCACTCGATGTGTGCAAAAGACTTAATAGCCTACCGGTGCACACATACACACAGAAACGCTGATTTATGGATAGTTAGTTGAGAGGACTGGGGTAAGGAGGGAAAGGGAGCCTAATATGAATTTTCTCGGCTCATATTTTCACGGTTTTTATACTTTTAAAGAGTTTTTAGACAAAAAAATCAAATTAAAAACTTTCCGCACAACCAGTTAAGGGCTCGTATGGCGAAAAATAATAGCCAAAAGGGACAGTTAGGTCGTGTCCCTCTCGCTGTACAGTGTGAACAGGTCAATGGCAATGAGAGGGGATAGGGATGTATAATAAGTGGTCATGTCTTGTGGTGCAACCAGTGGTCACTCTTCTGAGAAAAAGTGAACCAAAAGTTTAATTATATATTAGTTGTGAACACATTTATGCGCTGAAAGTGGAGTGGGATCTCGTGGAAAGGCTATAAAAGGCTCGGACATCACATATATAATACCGGGGCCCGTGTGTTAGAGGGACTTAAGGGGGACAGCCTTTTATTTTTACGCTGAAATACTGACCCAAACATACGTGTATATACTCTGTACACAAATCCCTGGCCATAAGCTCCTATACTCTAGTAATGACTCGTTATAATGTACTGCAAAAACTAATGCAAACTTTTTTCTCAGACACTATTGAATAACAAAATAAAAATAATACACAGAATTGGTAGCAAAATAGACATCCATTTCCCCACTCATTGACTGTTTTTGATAGTTAGTTGAGAGGACTGGGGTAAGGAGGGAAAGGGAGCCTAATATGAATTTTCTCGGCTCATATTTTCACGGTTTTTATACTTTTAAAGAGTTTTTAGACAAAAAAATCAAATTAAAAACTTTTTCCGCACAACCAGTTAAGGGCTCGTATGGCGAAAAATAATAGCCAAAAGGGACAGTTAGGTCGTGTCCCTCTCGCTGTACAGTGTGAACAGGTCATTGGCAATGAGAGGGGATAGGGATGTATAATAAGTGGTCATGTCTTGTGGTGCAACCAGTGGTCACTCTTCTGAGAAAAAGTGAACCAAAAGTTTAATTATATATTATTTATGCGCTGAAAGTGGAGTGGGATCTCGTGGAAAGGCTATAAAAGTCTCGGACACCACATATATAATACCGGGGCCCGTGTGTTAGAGGGACTTAAGGGGGACAGCCTTTTATTTTACGCTGAAAATACTGACCCAAACATACGTGTATATACTCTGTACACAAATCCCTGGCCATAAGCTCCTATACTCTAGTAATGGCTCGTTATAATGTACTGCAAAAACTAATGCAAACTTTTTTCTCAGACACTATTGAATAACAAAATAAAAATAATACACAGAATTGGTAGCAAAATAGACATCCATTTCCCCACTCATTGACTGTTTTGTTATATCAAATAAAATTCATTACAAAATGTAGACTAAAATCATTATAACTACGAGAGGGTCTACTGTATGCCAATCGCGTGAAAGGGCCCGGGAGCTAATCAAAGTGTGTGTGTATTGATAGAAATACAGGTGCTCTGATTGTATGCCTACTGAGCCTACTGTCCATTTAATTGGAAGTGTGAATACGAGAGTGAATACTGTATATAAAATCAGTAACAAAATTGGGCCCCAATTATGAACTCCTAAATTAAAAGCACCACAAAAAACATCATTGAAAGGGGACTGTAAGGGGGAACGACATGAAAAAACAGCAAATCTTATTTAGTGTAGTGTTGATGTCGAGAGAAATGTTATTCAATAGCCGTTTCCCTTTAGGACATTACCCGAAAGGTAGGAGCTCTCGGAGTACCATCACTTGTATTACATGTTATACTGTATATTATATTCACAATACGATCGGACATCTAAGGGTAGGTACCGATGCCAAGCGTCTGGTGCCCGCTTAAAGGGCCCCAACAATGGACTGGTAGCTCCAG